CTGTGCTACAAAAAAACTCTCATCAGACAGACACACGTCATCTCGGCGTGTAGGGGCTAGGCCCAGGTCAAGAGGCGTGCAGGCGTGTGCCACTCAGGAGCCAGGAATGTCTGGCCCTGGGGGTAGGGAGCCAGCCTTTGGGTACACCTTGGAATTTGCCTTACATCTTTAAATCCTAAAGAGCCACCTCCTACCCCAGCAAGATGTGCTCAGAGCCTTCCCTGGATGGGGGCTGCTGGAGACAGGCCGACCACCGCCTTCAGGGGAGGGCCCGTAAGTAGGATGCCTCTCAGGCTTCGGGAGGAAGAGCACCCACCAGAGCAGAAAGGGCATCTTGACTGTTATCTGCACCCCTGCCCCATTTCTAATGCCCACCCTGTTTCTTACAGGAGACAGACAGTGACCAGTACCCCCTGCTGGATCGAGCTGCACCTGAATGGCCCTTTGCAGTGGCTTGACAAGGTCCTCACGCAGATGGGCTCCCCAAGCATCCGCTGTTCCAGTGTGTCCTAGAGCCCTCGGGTGCGGAGAGGAGGCCGGGAGAAAACATCAGAGCTCTGCTTACCCCACTCTTGTCAAGAAAGAAGAAACCACCGTTCTCCCTCAACCCAAGTGGCTCCAACCTGATTTCCAAAACGCAAGGACAGACCCAGAGATGGGATTTACGGGCAGCTGCACCTGCTGAACCCATCTACCCTCCGCCCCTCGGTTGGAAGGAGCAATGGCCTCTGCTTTGGTGGCTTGACCGAAGCAGGCATCTCCCAGCCCTTCTTTTCTGGTGACACCAATCTGGGGTGTTGCTGCCCCTCTGGACAGGGCTGGCCGGAGTGCAGCATTTCCCTTGGCAAGGGTCTCCTTGGTGGGCCTGAGCACACCTGCCCTAGCTCTCCAGCACTTGTGACAAGACACCACGTCAGCGCCTCCTGATTGGATTGCCTTGGATTGGGGAGGGGCTTCTCTGGGCCCCTCCCCACTGCTCCAGCCCATCCTGAGGGGCGTGAGTGTGTTCAGCAGAACGTCTAGACACAAGAGGGCTGTGGGCAAAAGTCAGTGCAGAAGCTGACTCCTCCTTCAGCAACTCACAGACTTGCCCTTTCCCCCCCGGCAGAGTTGGCAGGCTCTGTGGAGGCTCCGTGCGTGGGCACTGTGTTTGTACTTCACCACGTTGACCTCAGAGAGATTGGCAGGAAGCAAGGGGCGGGTGCCCCCCAACCCCAACGGCATCTGGGTTGCAGCAGCATTCCATCAAGCTGGCTACCTGTGGTTACCTGGGAGCTTCTGATGCACTCGGCGACCTGGCCTCATGGGGTCGGTTGCATTGACTAAGCGGCTGTTTATCATATGCCTTTAAACATGCTTGTTTTATCTAAAAGCCAAACAAAAAGCCCTGGGGTGGAGTGCAGGTCAGGTGGGGAGACTAGAGCCGGATGCAGCACCTTCAGACTCTCCTCTCACCCGCCCAAGGTGCAGCCTGCCACGTTGCTACAGGGGACACCTGCCAGCACCTCTGGAAATTCCTGCAAGCCAGCTGCTCAGAAAGGGCAACCTCAGACCACCGTGGGTGAATGAAAGGGCCGTTCACTTTCTGCATCTTGGAACATGGCAGAGAAGGCCCATCCTCCACCCTTACAGCTCAGGGCAGTTACAGGGTGCTGTAAGGGCTGCTCCCAGCAGCACTACAAGAGAAAACGATTATAAATGATCTCAACTGGAAACAAAATGAGGAAGGGCCCCGTGTCTCTGCCTGGCCTCCTGCAGTAAACAGCAGACAAGACCACTGCCTG